AAATCACCATGCTCAGTTTCGAACTCTGTCAGAAATGCCTTGATCTGGCGGTGATTTAAACCATGGGCTCTGATAAAGTTAACGGCAGGCGTGATGGTGGTCATTGCATGTTCCATTTTCAAGGCTTTACCACACAACGATTCCTGGTGTATGATGCAATGGTAAGCTGTTAACTCACATGTGGCATTTTCCTCTAGCATTTTTTCCTGTGTCCTTGCCACCAGTCCGCTCCTGTGTCCACACATCGCAGGTGCTCAGTCGGTTGTCAACCTCACGAGTTTTTCCCAAGGCAGCCCCATCTCATTGACACATCTTGACACCTCCTCAAATAAATCATGCCCTGTAGTTGTGCCATGCAGAGGATGTAAAGCCAAAAACTCCTCTGTCACACTTAGGCTGGAATCCACTCCGCGGATGAAAATTGACAACTGGGCAACTTCAGAAATGTCGGTGCTCTCATCCACAGCCAAGGAGTATGCGATGATATGTTTTCCCCTTTTCACAAGCTGCTGTTTTAGATAAATGGACAACTGATCTACTCGCTCGCCAATGGTGTCTTAATGAAATCCCCCTCCGTAAATGGCCGGGCTGATTTCGCGATCTCTTCTGTCCACAATAATGGTTTTGTGATTTGGCTTTTTTGAACAGAGCCTGTTGAGATTTTAGGCTTTGTTTTTGTCAGGTTTATCCAATTTGACACTTAGGAATAAAACACAAGGAGGAGACAGGAGACTCAATTCTGGTACCAGGAGGGAACGAGGAGAAGCGTTAGGTTTCAGTTCTCGGCACGCCACCCTAACGATCTCCCCCTTCACCCCCTCATTTATTGGGAAATCTACTACATAGGTGTGTCCAACCTAAAGGGTGGGGGCTGTTGAAGACACACTGAATTTGTTTGACTATGTGTGCGTATGTGAGTGTAAATTACGTACATGTGTGCATTTGTTACAAAAACATTACGTTGCAGCTGGTGTTGATGGCTCCATTCTGTCCAACCTTGCTCCTGTTTAGTCTTAACACTTATCTCTTCCCAACCACGTCCTCGGAAAGGTGGTTGCGTCCCTAAACTGCAACACAGTGGACTAAGAATTCTTGATTATAAATGTGAGTATATATGAATAAAAAGGATTATAAATGTGAGTACATAATGATTACTATATAATGATTAAGAAGCATTATATCTTTATTAAAGCATACGCGTTCTTCATTGCAGGCATAGTCAATTAATCATTGCAGGCATAAGCATTCATCTTTGCAAGCATAATCAATTTATCATTGCAGGCATAAGCTTTCTTCTTTGCAAGCATAATCAATCAATCAATATCAAAATAACAATAATAAGCGAATGTATGATAACTATAATAATCAATCGATCAGTTTTAATTCCTCAACCTTCTGTAGCCTTTGTTCCATGTCCATTTTCTTGTTTTTGTTCCGTGTTTCATTTCATGACATCTTCTCAGATTATACTCTTGCAATACCGCCACACTTTCTCTGCACAGAAGACACACAGGTTTTCCAGCTACGTCCATGAACATGTACTCCCACCTTGTTTGAAACCCCCGGTTCTCGGTGTTCACCTTCCGTTTTGCCATTTTTGATGCGTATCTGAAAGTTAATGTCACTGTTATGCAAACGACTGCTGCACTTAATACACATTGAAATAAGGCGCGTCACCGTTGCATTGTGGGAAATTATACGTGTAAAAGATCTGCGGTCTGTTGGCTTGCTGCGGTCTGCGGGCCGGTTCTAATAATAAATCAATGTCATCCCAGGGGCCGCTGAAAACCTCACGGGCCATATCTGGCCTGCAGGCCGTGATTGTCACGTTTGCGTGGTGGTGGTGGTGGACACCAAAAAGCAGGCAGGAGGGAGAAGCAGGGTGTACTTGAAAGATTGTATTAAAACTCAGAAAACTAAATCCAAAACAAACAAAGTCCAAAGTATCAAACAAAACACATGACAGAAGATAAAACAACAATTACCAAAACCAGACAGAAACAAACATGACAGCAGCCAACGAACAGCAACAAACAATGACCCGAGCATGAGTGCTAAGGCTGGGAGTCCTTTTAAAGCACTAATTACATAACGACCAACAGGTGTGCAGCTGCAGGGAGAGATCTACAATGCCACCTGTTGGTCCCAAACTGAAAGATGACAGTAACTTTGTGTTAGAATAGAAAGTACAATGCTGCCATGTTTTAAAGTTTCATCTTGTTGCATTCCTGATTGACCTCGAGATGCTTGTGTTCGGGACCTCTTGCACACATTAGAAGCACAGAGAAGCAGTGAGGACCCGAGTGCCTGGTACCTGACCATGCGCTCCTTATCTCGGAGAGAAAGATTTAACCCTCACTAGTAGACACACTGGCGCCTGTTAACTGACAACTTAGAAAGGAAGATTTAACCTTGGACGGAAGGGAGTGCTTGTACGCTCCGTCATGAGCAAGGGTCATGAGCCAGGTGACCGACGTCTTAATTCAGGGAGACACCGCTCGTTAAAATGTCTACGTGTCTGTTAGTTTATAGATGTTGGTGCTGGTTCTATGGGAATCCTTTGTCTTAGGGCACATACGTCAAAGTGCCGGCCCGCGGGCCGGATTTGGCCCGCGGGCCGCGAGAATGTTTTCAGTGGCCCCTGGGATGATATTGATTTATTATTAGAACCGGCCCGCGGACCGCAGCAAGCCAGGAGCCCGCAGATCTTTTACACGCACCAAAACTACATTTCCCACAATGCAACGGTGACGCGCCAAGCAGTCGGCCGCTTTATTTAAATATTTATTCGTCTAGCAGTCGTTCCCATAACAGTGACATTAGCTTTCAGATACCCATCAAAAATGGCAAAACGGAAGGTGGACACTGAGAACCGGGGGTTTCAAACAAGGTGAGAGTCGAAG